CCTGGAAGGTTAAAATGTCCCCCCACTGGTTTTTGAATATTGTGGTTTGTAATAGCAGTAGAAAGAGTAAGAGTCCAGTAGCACCTTTAAAGACTAACAAAATTGTGGTAGGGTATGTGCTTTTATGAGTCACTGCTCACTTCTTCAGACTTATTTCCATTCTTTGCATCCTCCTGGACTGAATCCTCTTGTACCAAATTGAGACCTAGGTTTCCTGTCTCATTACCAGTGCTGATATCTCTACTCCTACTACCCCTCTGCATATCACACCCAATCCAATCAAGCTGGCTATTGCCATTCAGCATCTGAAATCATCTTTATAAAGTTTATATCTCTGGAACCTTGTGTTACATTTTATGGCACACATGTCCCAGCCTGGCAAAGTGACATTTATGTCAGATCTGGCCCTCGTAACAAATGAGTTCGACACCTCTGTGCTAGAGAGTTTTTAGGAAGACAGATCTCTGGAGACAGGAAAAGCTGAGTGGGGAAAGAGATTTGATAACATTTCTTACAACAGGAACAGAAGGTCTCTTAGCTGGATCCATCAGGTTTTTGGTTGTATCTTTGCACGCTCTTGGTTTATAACTAAGGTTTTTGATATCCACAGTGGAATGATGATCCTTAGCAATAGAATCTGTGCTGTGGGACTGGAATGACAGGTCACAGAGTGGAATGACAGGACAGCCCCTGGGGAAAGGCTCAGTGCCCTAGGACTGGAATGACAGGTTGCAAAGTGGAATGACAGCCCCTGGGAATAGGCTCAGTCCTCTGGGACTTGTACTTGTGCTCACTTGTAGGATATGAGTTTGAAGTGAGAAGAAGGTTGCTGCTACTCTGAACTCTGTACATTGCTCAGAAATTGAGGGCACAGCAACTGTTTGGTATTCTGGCTCAGAGACTTCAGCCCTGCATTTACCAAACGAAGGCATCTGTGATGCCATAATTTAGTAAATTTCAGAACAAAGTCACCCTTATGAAAAAGGCATAAACAAGACTCCTGTAAATGAATGTCCAGTAACACTTTTAAAATGTTCCCCTGCAGGCTTTTCTGTGTTGCCCTCCTTACCTTCAAATTTGTGACCTTTTTTTGTCTTATGCACATGGTATGTATATTTGCAGATCTTAAAGTGACTATTCTAAAACTGAATTTAAATAAAGGACACAGCAGGAGACCACTGAGATACCACTATAACCACTGGCCAACTCCCACCTTTTCCTGGGTTCCCATTCCCAGGGGCATGGCTAGGGGAGTTCCCAAGGGCTCCCAGGCCCCCCTAAATTTCTGGGGAGCCCCTTCCTAAATCCCATATGGCTCTGCTTCTATAGATAGTGACAATGGCCTGTGATGTCACTGGCTCCTCCTTTTAAGGACCTAGCATAGCAGTGCTTCTGGCCCAGCCCCACCCCACCCCCCAGGAAATTGGAAAGTCTATGCCCTTACACACAGACACAGAGTCCCAGTAAGGTTAGAGATGATAGCATCACTCAGATGGGGTAAGGAGATGGTAGGTAGGTGGGTGCTATCCCTCGTTTTCCCTGTCCAGCCCCAATCAGAGATGTCACTGAATCCTTATAGGACCAATTTATGCTTCTCAACTCAACATGCTGTAATAGAATAGAAATGAATGGCTTCAACTGAACAAAGTCCATGGGCTACTGAGCTTAGTTCCCACTGCTCTAAAGCACCCTTGAGAAGCTTGAGTTATGAGTCTGATGCATTACCCTATACTGCCAAATGTTAAGAACTAAAACTAGCTTGCTCTTAAGGTTCAAAACTGCTCAACTCTACAAGCTTCTACCTCTCTCAAAATTACTAGCCCTTACACATTGCTGCCACCAGCAGCTTTATCCTTAGAGAAACAAGCTGCTTGTTTAGGAAATAGTGTGTTCAAGTTTAAGATTAGTATTTAAAGCCCTGGGAGGAATATGAAATTGATTGCACCCTACTTGGTCCATAAAGGAGAAACACAATTAAAATGAACAAGTATATCTGCATGTTTCAGGCCTGAATTTGGATTTGTAAGTAAACCTGAATTGGCTTTTGACAACAGAGTAACTTTATAGGGATCAGAATGTTTTCTTCCTCAAATGACTTGTCAAATCAAACCAAATGTAATTGTACGGTCAAAGACCAGCATAGATAAAATACTACCCCCAAATTTATATTAGTTAAAAAAATTAAAATAGACAATATAAATGACAGTAAACAGGTGGTATTTACATAAACCCAAATAAAAAGGGAGAAGAAGGAGAAGAAGGGGAGGGGGAGGAAATTGGATTTATACCCCGCCCTTCACTCGGAGTCTCAGAGTGGCTTACA